TTCATGTGAAGAATAACAATACTATTGTTCATCATAAAGTTTGTGTATTACATTTATATAACCTCTACAGCCTCCAGGATGCAAATATACAGTTTTCTTTAGTCTCCCTGTATAATGTATCTTCTATTTACTGTCTTTAAGTAGCAATGTAGGGTAAAAAAAATAGTTGATAATACCATTCTGAATGGTACTCTATAAAAAGGCTGTGGCATGCTCACTTCAACCCTCACTCGTGCAAATTGGGTTAAATGAAACCTATTACTTTCTCTTATGCTGTCAGTTCTAAATATATATTTATTTTTTTATTAAATTACACAAAATGAATCTTATAACAATCTGTCATGAAAAGAAATAAGAGTTACTGTTACTATTCTTTGTTACAGTTCAGTGACTTGTATAAGATATGGTGGAGAACAATGATAAACTATGAAACTTCAGTTCTTACATTCCGGTAGCAACAGAACGTTGCCGAGAAAAGCTTCATTCTTTAAATGGTCTTACCTACTGACTCACAAGTCATTTTGAATGCACAAAAAATTAAAAATGTAACAGAGATAAGATCACTAAATAATCATATGGATGAGAAAAAACGTCTTCAGAAAAATAATCAATGAAACAGAACGTAACATAAAATATACTGACCAGCACCATTTTCTTTCACTAAAATCTTCTCGGACATTGTCAGCTTGCTCACTTGGCTGTTAGAAGAGGTTCTGATACTGTAAGTCCAAAAGTACAAGTTAGCAAACCAAGAACACTACAGTAGAGAAACATTTTCTAAATTTTAATTACAGATGTAGGTGGAACCACATGAGCCAAGTTTCTGCAAGCGATAATAAAAAAAACACATCTTAAAAGATATTATTAACTTCAGGATACACAACATAGTTTAAACTATTTAAACAGAACTTAAGTTTATCCTGTTATAAAGAAGTTAACCCATTAACTGTGACAGGCGCAGCTCAGTTGCCGTTTTCTGACTCACAGATAAAACTGAGTTGCCATCAATCACAATAAACGGTAATTTTTGTCATTCGCATAGAGTTATAGTTATATATGTGCGACTGACGGATATTTCCGTCATTTGCAGCTAAGCCATAGAACTTCAATGACAGAAATATCTGTCATCCACAGTTAATGGGTTAAGAATACAAAAAACAACAACCATAAGTGTATATAAAACAGCTTTATAATATCTAAATATATGAATTTTTAAATATGCTACTCACAAAGCAATCTAGAATACAAATATGTATATATTCTTTTTCTGTTTGTTTGTTTTGAATTTCATACAAAGCTACACGAGAGCTATCTGCGCTAGCCGTCCCTAATTTGGCAGTGTAAGACTAGAGGGAAGGCAGCTAGTCATCACCACCCACTGCCAACTCTTGGGCTACTCTTTTACTAATGAATAGTGGGATTGACCGTCACATTATAATGCCCCCACAGCTGAAAGGGCGAGCATGTTTGGTGTGCCGGGAATTCGAACCCGCGACCCTCAGATTGCGAGTCGAGAACCTTAACCACCTGGCCATGCTGGGCCGTTCTCTTTCTGTGTAAAATAGTTACTCCTCGTAAAAAAAAATTTAGTTTCTATTTTTAAGCCTGTATGTCAAACACTTGAATTTTATGGAACTTTCTCTTTGTAGAGTTCAGTTTTTCTACAAAAACAGAAAAAAAAAACTGAATTTTTAACTGTTATAAATGCTAGCCAAGAGTATATACTTTCAGTTATTTTAACATAAAATCTAAGTTGTTGTTGGACTAAGTTAAACAATGAATCACATTTAAGCAAAGAAACACTTATCTACTGCTGGAGATTGTTTGATCCGTATTTACTCATCTCTGTGGGCAAATTACAGGTGATGTTCCTGAATTTCGTTTTTGAACATTCACACAATTCTACTCTAGGTTTGTCTGCACTTGTCATCCATTACTTTGAAATGATAGAATAAAGGGGAAAGCAGGTAGACTATAACACCCACCCCTAGCTCTTGGACAAGCACACTTCTTAAAATATCCATAGTCCCAGAGTGTGGATCATGATTTTAATTTTGTTGGTAATACAATGTAAACAATGGACCCACAGATCCATAGTCCAACACCTTTTTTAGCACAAACCTACACAACAGGCTAACTGTGCTTTTCATTCACCACAGGGAACTCAACTCCAGTTTTAGCATTGTAAGTCTGGAAGGTTATCACTGGCCCACCAGAGGGACACCTTTAGTGAAGTACTTTAAAAATTAATAAATTTATAGTCTTTTTTAATGATGAATTGTTTTTTGATGCATTACGAAGATTTACAGTTTTAAGATCTATCTTGATAAATAAAGGTAAGGTACAGAAATAAGAGTGAATTCAAAATGCTTTAGCTACATGTTATAAAATATTTGATTATATCGCACCGCTTAATTGCTAGTCACAGTATTAATTAGGCAGTTCAGCAATATTTTATACACTCCCTGTTGAAATATCGTGTCACTTTAAATACCAGTATATACACTCCCTGTTTAAATAATGTGTAACTATAAATACCAATATACACTCCCTGTTTAAATAATGTGTAACTTTAAATACCAATATACACTCCCTGTTTAAATAATGTGTAACTTTAAATACCAATATACAAAGCTTTCACTCTACCTTCTCCTGATAAACCACTGATCAACCTTTAAAGTAATTTATTCTTGTATTTAGACTTACTGGTATTCTAGTTCTATTATTACCTGGAGTACAGAACACATGCGAACCAGATGATCAGACCAACAATGCTCTCGGTATCAAAGTGGCTTTTGCTGTTAGACTGGAACACAAGTGGTTTACACTCTTTTGCTGAAAGGTACATATTAAGGTAAGGCAATCTGAACATTTCAACATAATCCAGTTCTTATTATATTACTGATACTATTAAACTCTTTGCATAACAAAATGTCTTTTTGAATATCGAGTATTTAAACACTAAATTATGTTAACAGAAACTTCTCACTGTTGCAAAAATACTAATTAAATATAAGGACTATATTGACAAGTATCTCTATGTTCCACAATAGCTAACATTTATTTAACGAAACCTTATATCATGCTACAAAGGATAATTTCACTAAGAATTTGTTTAATGAAACATCCATATGTTGTGAGGTATATAAATTCTTAAAATTTTTTAAAAACTAATCTCTATTAAATGTAGCAAGAAAATACCCCAGACAATTTTGGACATTAGTTTTAATATGATTAGACACTTTAAAAGTAATTTTTGGATTTCTTTGACAAACAATATTTATTTATAAAGTTATCATGATTAACCCCATTGCGACAGGTATCCTTTACTGTGCATTTCACAAGGTTTTAGTGACTTACATTCAAAATTTTATTAATCTACTTTTTGTTTGTGTTATACCAATTAGTATAGCATAAAATCTTAGCTAATAATCCATCTTTTATGTATTTATGTTTTAAGTTCTTAATTTTATATGGCAATATTTAATAAAATCTTGAATTTCCCCTAGTGTGATACATGTGACACTTTTTCTCTATGCATCTTCTTTTCTCTATTTCATCCATCACCCCTCCAATAAGTATGAAGTAAAATGTAAGTTACTCACTATAAAATCATCATTGCTCAGACAAACCATAATTTTTATAGCCTTCAATAGCAGCTCATGGGTAATGTAATTCGATAGTGTAACATGACCTCCATGTTCCCCAAGTGATTTACAACTTATAATGGTGAGAATAGTAGTTAGACACAATTCAAAGGACAATAAAACAATAAAATGTAATTATAATTAGATGTATACTGTTATGAGTTTAAAGTCATTTAGGATAAATGAATGTAGTTTCATGTTACAATTTGAAGTTATTCTACAAAGAAAAAAAGGGATAATTTAGATTTATTTCAATTTTTTATTTTTATTTTTGGTGGTTACGAGGTTGGTCAAATTGACCAACATTATATAGTTAGGGTAGAGAAAATAACAGATAAAATATAAAGTTTTAGTGAAAACAAACATTTGAAATGTATTTAGGAGGTTTTATAGAATACACAAATCAAATCTGAGATTTTTGAGATGAAAAAAGTATTTTTAATCTTAACATGAAAATCACTTTGCACACACACTATTCAAAACAAATACTCAATATATTCATGGACAAATCTTTAGTAAAAATACTTGTAATATGTACTAAAAGTCTGCCAAATTTTGTCAAGATATGCATACTGTATTAAAAGTTATTGTATTAAACTATATACAAGTAAAATTGGCCCCATGGTTAGTGACTGGGTCAGACCCCATATTGAGAGAGTAAATTACCAAGTGAAAAATGTACAATGCTACATTGTAAAACCCATGAATAAGTATCGCACGAGCAAGTTAATGAGGTTTTAGCATCTGAAACAGACCAAGAACTAAAAGAATTCCTTCACTCATCTGTCTAGATGGTTAGAAGTAAACACTGTTCTGATATCGAAAACCAATATGACAAAATATGGTTCTCCGAGCCAGAGATAGATGAGCAGCAAATGTGTACACTCATCTCACAGATTAGGCAAAATGTCTTCAAATATGTAACCCTTATTCTTTCTTCAACCATATCCTCTATCCACACTGATATAACATAATACAATGGGAACACAATTCTCCATCCTAGTAGTTTGATAACTTTTTTTTAAACTTAATTTGTATCTTTACATTTAGCATTCATAGGTCATTTTAGTGTCATGACTGGATATTTTTGATCAACGATCAATTAACTGAATATGACTGCTTTTCACTACTACAGTTCTGTGGTACTTAAGTATACGTGTGTGTGTGATTTTAGTTCCTTAGTAATAGCACGAGTTTATAACCACTGCTTTTCACTACTACAGTTCTGTGGTACTTAAGTATACAAGTATACGTGTGTGTGTGTGTGATTTTAGTTCCTTTGTAATAACACGAGTTTATAACCACTGTTTTTCACTACTACAGTTCTGTGGTACTTAAGTATACAAGTATATATGTGTGTGATTTTAGTTCCTTTGTAATAACACAAGTTTATAACCACTGATTTTCACTACTACTATAGTTCTGTAGTACTTAACCATATAAGATAAACAAGAGGTGAATTAAAACTTAGGAAACAACGAAGCTAGTTTGATATTATATTTTGTTGAATTAAGGCTATTTGTACACTTTGCTGTTTTTCTCAGTTTAAATTTTTTTTATAGCATTGAGTACCATGACTGAGTAATTACATGAATAACAAACAAATCCTACCTGTAGAATTGTTCAGTGATGCCCAAGTCAGGTACATTGTGTACAGGGAGACAATGGAAGCTTGGAGAAGTCCAGCCTTAGGTTGGTCTTTGAACAAAAAAAATTAGTGAAATTAGCATCCATGATTTCAGCCAAATGTGTTCCCTTTCTCAAACTTTCTGTTCAAATACCTATTTACACTGTATATAGATAATATTAGCAAAAGTGAAAGTTTCTATATAATTTCTAGGTAGGAAATAATAAAAGTACAGTTTTAACATGTTAAAACAATAGCTACACCTCCATCACATCACTGGTGTAAATCTCACCTGAAAGAAAATGTAAAGATTAACTCCCAGATCTTTAGATTAGATTACTGGTCCTGAATATATGAGTAAAAAATAACTTCCAGATCTAGAGATTACATTACTGGTTCTGAATATATGAGTAAAGATTAACTACCAGATCTTTAGATTAAATTACTAGTCCTGTATATATGAGTAAAGATTAACTCCCAGATCTTTAGATTAAATTACTAGTCCTGTATATATGAGTAAAGATTAACTCCAGATCTTGAGATTAAATTACTAGTCCTGTATATATGAGTAAAGATTAACTCCCAGATCTTTAGATTAAATTACTAGTCCTGTATATATAAGTAAAGATTAACTCCCAGATCTTTAGATTAAATTATTAGTCCTGTATATATATGAGTAAAGATTAACTCCCAGATCTTGAGATTAGATTACTGGTCCTGAATATATGAGTAAAAAATAACTTCCAGATCTAGAGATTAAATTACCAGTCCTGTATATACGAGTAAAAAATAACTTCCAGATCTAGAGATTAAATTACCAGTCCTGTATATATGAGTAAAAAAATAACTTCCAGATCTAGAGATTAAATTACCAGTCCTGTATATATGAGTAAAGATTAACTCCCAGATCTTGATATTAGATTACTGGTCCTGAATATGAGTAAAGATTAACTCCCAGATCTTTAGATTAAATTACCAGTCTTGTATATATGAGTAAAGATTAACAACCAGATCTTTAGATTAAATTACTAGTCCTGTATATGAGTAAAGATTAACTCCCAGGCCCAACAGTAGGTTTCTGGTTAATAGTACATAAAGGTGGTTACTGGTTAATAGTACATAAAGGTTTCAGCCAATAACACAAAGTTTCTTTAATAATTGAAGTCGTATCACTGAAGATCTACAGACTACTCTAAAAATCAACACGTCTTTAACAATTAAAGTCGTATCACTGAAGACCTACAGACTACTCTAGAAATCAACACGTCTTTAACAATTAAAGTCGTATCACTGAAGATCTACAGACTACCCTAAAAATCAACACGTCTTTAACAATTAAAGTCGTATCACTGAAGACCTACAGACTACTCTAAAAATCAACACGTCTTTAACAATTAGTCGTATCACTGAAGACCTACAGACTACTCTAAAAATCAACACGTCTTTAACAATTAAAGTCGTATCACTGAAGACCTACAGACTACTCTAAAAATCAACACGTCTTTAACAATTAAAGTCATATCACTGAAGATCTGCAGATTACTCTAAAAATCAACACGTCTTTAAGAATTAGTCATATCACTGAAGATCTACAGACTACCCTAAAAATCAACACGTCTTTAACAATTAAAGTCGTATCACTGAAGACCTACAGACTACTCTAAAAATCAACACGTCTTTAACAATTAAAGTCATATCACTGAAGATCTACAGACTACATCACAAATCAACACTTTTTGGTCTTCCTTTAAAGAAAGATCCAGCAAATTCGGCTTCAGATCTTTATTATATGTACAATAAACATTGCACTGTTTATGTGTGTAGCCCACAAACAATAACGGAAGATGAAATAATAAACCACAACAAAAAAGTGGAAGTTAATTTTTTTTATCTTTTAACAAAAACTTTTTTTAAATGAACTTATGTTTTAGTTACCATTTCAGGTAAAAGATATAATTTCTGGGAAATAGAAGTATCGAGTTAATGTAAGTTTGGAGAAGTTACACTTTTTATCATGACTACATAAATTGTACTTGTACAACCGTTTTCTGGTATTTATAAGTGTCTTCATAAATACAAGACTGTCTGACATTTTTAAACGTATACAAAAAAAATGCAGCTGTATAGATAGAAGAGCAACTGAAACCTAAAGTAACGAAACAGTCATATGTCCGTATACAGAGAAGAGCAACTGAAACCTAAAGTAATGAAACAGTCATTGGTCTGTATACAGAGAAGAACAACTGAAACCTAAAGTAATGAAACAGTCATATGTCTGTATACAGAGAAGAGCAACTGAAACCTAAAGTAATGAAACAGTCATACGTCTGTATACAGAGAAGAGCAACTGAAACCTAAAGTAATGAAACAGTCATACGTCTGTATACAGAGAAGAGTGACTGAAACCTAAAGTAATGAAACAGTAATACGTCTGTATACAGAGAAGAGTGACTGAAACCTAAAGTAATGAAACAGTTATATGTCTAGAAAGAACAAGTGTAATGGTAAATCAATGACCACTAGTTCACAATAACCTGTATTTCCCAGGTTTTAAATGCTAAAGAAATTTTAACGTTTTACTTAACTTTGAAAAATTAAATAAGCTAACTGTTACTTTAAATGTATCATTAATAAACACAGTTTCAGTCTAGAACTAATACACAAGTCAGAAAGATAAAAACTACTACTATGTGCACCTAGTTCGTTGAAAGCTAATATAGACATCACTAAAATACAAACTTAAAAACATTACTTTAAAAAATATTCTAGATATTCAGTTTTTAGATTGTTGGTTATGGTGATGTGTGTTTCCAATTATTGTTGCAGTATGCTGATTACAAACTGAAATACCTGTTAACTGATGGGGAATATTTAAACTTAATTAAAACAATGTAAGCTTAACAGCAATCATATATTTTAAAGTAATAACTTGAACATAAACTTTATCTCAAAATTTTAAAATTATAACAAAGCTTCTTCGTAAATAACATTTTGCAGTTTGCTTTCCATCTACCAACAAATAAAGATTTTGAGGTGATCCCACTCTTGGACACCCTACATCTCATTGATCATGAGAAAAGCATGATTGGCTGAGAAACAATCCAGCAATTTTCATACTTTGACCTGGAATCCCTTTTAGAATATTAAACACTGAATAATGCATCAACTTGCCAAGATTGTTTGTGTTTGACTCAACAGGCTGGGAGTAATTAACCAACAAGCTTTACAAAATAGAAATAAGGATATATTCAGTTTTAACCCACTTAGGACATTCCCCATTGTTCATAGTGTTTACATATAAAATTTGGTTGAGATTCTCCCAATAGGCTCAGAGGAGTTAGGGTACAAAAAAAAACATTTCGTTTTTATAATAAAAAATACAGCATTTCATCTGTTAATATATCCCCCCCCCCAAAAAAAAAATCATGGACATTTTCATTATTGGTTCAAACATTATTTCACAATAAAACTTTGTCTGGAGCAAGTTTGATTTAGAATTTTCACATAAAGCATCACCAGAGCTATCTGAGCATTTTCGAACTGACAGACGACAGAGAAGACAACTGGTCAACAGCACCCTCCAGTAATTCTTGACTGCTTATGTTGGACTTTGTAGTAGGATTTGACCATCACTATTATAGTGTACCCACAGCTACAAAGTGCAAAGAGCATTTATGCAGCAGTGGGATGTAACCCCTGAAACCTCGGATTTGCAATGTAGGGACACTAACCCTAGATAGGCCTACCTCTTTGGAGCATGTCTATAGATGTTACATGTAACAAAAGTAGCATTTTAATATCCTATAATAGTCCATCAAAAACAGTTACTATAGAAACAGATTAGCTGCATCAGAAACAGTTACTATAGAAACAGATTAGTTGGATTAGAAGCAGTTACTATAGAAACAGATTAGTTGCATCAGAAGCAGTTACTATAGAAATAGACAAATGACACATTTTAAAATCTTAAGCTTTATTGCACATTCCTACTGACATGATCTTACCCATGCAACATTTATCACATACTTGTTGTACAAGCACATTAAAAGCCATTTTTTATTATTTGCTGATTATTCTAATTAAACAACATTAATGTCTATGATGACAAACTTACATTTCTGCACTTTAGGTAAGATGGATAAGACCGACAACACGAAACACAGTATAAAGTTGAAACTTATGAAGAACTTGTGAAGTCCACAACCTTCAGACTGCAAGGAAACAGTTAACCAAATATTTACAAATTGGAGGAAATATAAGTAATAAATAAATAATCCAATCAATGAGTTTGAACCTGATAGGTAACTTTTAAACTTACTTTGATGTAATAGATGTAAAAACAATAAAAATATTATAACAAAGATACGAAAAAAAAACAAAAACAAGCAAAGCTGACATCTGATGGTAAATTTTTAAACTTACTTGGATGTAATAGATTTAAAAACAATAACAATACTGTAGTGAAAATATGAAAAAAAACAAGCAAAGCTGACATCTGATGGTAAATTTTTAAACTTATTTGAATGTAATAGATGTAAAAACAATAATAATACTGTAGCAAAGATACAAAAAAACAAGCAAAGCTGACATCCGATGGACAATTTTTAAACTTACTTGGATGTAATAGATGTAAAACAGCACAACAGCAGCAATGACAATACTGTAGTGAATAAGAGTAAAAAACAGCAGTGCTAAAATAAAAAACATAAATTCATCAATATTTATACACAAGTATTTTTATATATGACTATAGATTAAACTCAACCAGTTATTTCACAGTTTTTCAAAATGTGTCACTGAAATTTCTCAAAACTGATAGTGATGCTTGAAATGTCAAAAGAAGCTGAAACTGATAATTTCATAAATCTGAGTATTTAAATATATATATTTAAGATAACTTGCCAACTTTTCTGTTAATTTACCATTATCTACATTAAAATTGGCAAGTAAAGGCACCTTATCTTTTAATCACTGAAAAAATTAGATACATGTTATTAAGCACTTGGATCGGGGTGCAGGGTGAGGTACAGGACACCCACAAGTTTTAGCTAATAGTGAAATAAGATGGTATGCCCTTTACCATATTTGTAATTCTGTTAAACTTAACACCATCAAAGTAGAGTAATAAAGTCTGATACTATTTAGGATTTATCCCAAAAAACAGAATACTCAGATTGGGAGACTGTCAGTTTAGTTAGCAGAAGAGTGACTTACATTTGAATTTCATCCAATCTCAACTCTCAAAGGAATTTACAAACTTACACAAAACAGTTTCTTTTACAGAACTTCTACAAGTGTTCATTTTTTTTATTAAAAAAGAAGGAAGTATTAATAAAATTAATGGAATATTAACTTCTGATTAAAGCAAGTTACCTACATAGACTAAAAATAAAGATCAACCCAGTAACAAATACACTGTTCTTATGTTTTTGCTTATAATGACTAGAATGCATTGTTTCATCAGTTTGGTCATAATCCTGATAATATCTCATAATGTTATACAAGTTTAGGTGATATAGATTAGTCCTAAATACATAAACTAAGCTCAAAATGCAAAGATATCTTTATAATATAAAATTTAATATATATATATTAAACATTCTAACCAATGCTATATGAAAGTTACAATAAAAAAAGAATAGAATTTATAAATTTTTAAATCAGCCTTGATTCAGAATTCATTAACTCATAACACACTTGACTGACAGTAAAAGAAAGATTCATCTGTTAATCATTTAAACCAAAGCCTAAATTAATCACAACCTTGTCTAAAAGATGATTGATATATGCATATGATAAGAAGTTCTCATATCATGCACACTTAATTTTTAGGAATACTCAAATTTTTGTGGGAAGAAATACAAAATTCAAATTATCAACAACTAAGTCATTAGTAATTAATAAACACAATCTTCATTGAGGAACAACGTGGTCTAGTTTGTGTTTTGGATTAGTAATTGAAAGATTGTGGTTTCGAAGCTCACCATAAAAAAAAATGGGTATTTACTAACAGCTGGAAATTAACCTGCAATGCACCGGAATCCAGTCTAGTTTACATCTAGCAGGAGCAAATAAATATACTTTACTATCAAGAAACAACTTTGTCTAAACATAGTTAACAGACATAAGTATACCACATAACTGACCCCAGACGTGACATCAACAAAAGGAAAAGTAAGCTTCATGTATAGGATGTTTATTTTTTAAGCTGACTATTTAATGTGATTACTTACTAAACAATAACCTCACATTTAAACACCTTAAAACAATGCTAATTATCAGAAATGTTCCAGGTCTTATACACACATTTAACAAAGCAATATATAAACAAGTTTGTTCGTTTTCAGTTATATGCTCAAAACTGCTCCAGTACTAACTGAAATAGCTATCCCTAATTTTGAAATGATTGACTAGAGGAAACATGATTAGTCAATGAAACTCACAGCCACTTCTTGGGCTTCTCTTGCCTGACAGAATAGTAGCATTTGACAATCATCCATTTGTCTTAAAAACCTAATTTTCTTTTTACCGTTGATCAGAAAGTTCTATTTTATATATCCAGCAATTATCTTTGTGAGGCTAGATAACAATAAGCTTACTTGATGTCTCCTTTACGCAGATAGAATTTAATGCGAAAACATTACCTACAAAAATTATAAAAACAAAGCCAATAGATCTGTGATTTGTTCCTAAGTCTTATAAGGTTCCCATTAGGATTCTTTATTCATCTCTGTAGGAGCTTCATCTCGCCATTTTCCCATCAAACCAAGAATTAGTGATCACACCATTTTAATTGCTCTACATTGACAGATAGATTACAACCTGCTCTATCTGATGGTATATAAATTTTCAGTGCTTGTTAACACCATATGCTGTGACCTCACAAAAGGGTTGCAATAAAGAGTTGAAATAATAAAACGACAGAGAATGAACATTACAAGAGAAACAATACACAGGATGGCAGTTCTTATCAAATATAAACCTATGTTAAGATGGTCAGAAAAATTATAAAAAATCAATAATGTGTTCTTTACATGCCAGACTCCACGGAGTAGGGCAGAGATAAAAAGTTTGAAATCTTTTTTCTATTTGATTTACAAGTTATGCTAAATAATGTTAGAAAATATGAATTCTAAAATGAAAGCCATTGAAACGGAGTTAGAATCATTATTTGGATTTAAGTTTTGAAATTTGATAAGCATGAACAGCAGAAAAATGCTCTGGATAGGGTTAATAATCACATGGCTACTTTTACTTGTTAAAATCGACCAGAACAAAAAAAAATGATCACAGAAACTAAAAATTATTAATAATACCAGATTTGTTTAGTCTTAAAATTACTTGTTTATTTTCAATAACAATATATATTTGTTCCTTATTATTTCATACTATTTCACATCTTTTTTTTAAAGCACCATTTCTTAAAGTTAGGATTATATTAGCTAATTGTATTATTTCACTAATAAAGATTAGTTTTGAAATCATTCAGCATAAGACAACTTACCTCCATACCATCCCTTTGATTCTGTTTCTTCGTATTTCCCTACCCAGCTCTCAGCCCAGGAGTGAGCAAAATCGATGATCAACACCAACTGAATTAATATGAAGAGAAATCCTCCAACCAAACCAAAGTACATCCAGACTACAACAGAAGACACAGAATTACATCCCATTTCCTTTGACCGATATATATACAAAATGTTACTTCGTACGGCTTTTTTGTGTTTTTATATGGGTACCAATTCTTTTGTCATACACTAATTAGCTAACATCAAATCTTGCCAATATTTTTCGCTGAAACTGGCTAGTTTTAGTAGGTATACCAAGCAAGTTAACTTATCAAGACCAAGTCATGATTTATTTATTCAGACAATAAATTCACCTTCATTCACATACGTATATTTCAAGGGAAAAAAAAGTATCACATGGTATTTACCACCTATTGGAAATTCAGAAAATATGTAACTGGTGAAGTTATCTGTTAATGAATTAGAAACGAAAGAATATCACAAAATAAATCATACACTTTTTTAGATTCTTTTAAGGTAAAAACAGGTTTAGAGGAGTGTAATTAAAAACTGTATAACATATGTTAAATCAAGAGGAAATTCAACACTTCATTTATTTATTCATAATTGTCTCGATTTGTTTCATTACTTATTAGCATTAAACATTTACATCATGAAGTCTGTCTCATTTTTAACTTTCCTTATAGCTGGCACTTGTATTTAAATCTCTTAAACAAATACTGCTATATATTTTTTGTAAAGGAATTTAAAAAAAACGAGTGCTTTGTCCATCTATCTTGCATGGAAAAATACACACTGTAAACATATTTGTTTCAGAAGTGCATGAGACATTAAAACTTATTAACTTATCTTTTGCAGAAAAGATTAATAGTGTCGATAACCTTTATTAAACACAAATACGATTAAACCAGAACAATATATGTGTTATAAAATGTGAATATAAAAATCAACCAATGAGCATTGAATTTACATTAAAAGGTATTTTCAGTAAATATCACACAAAAAGTTATGTTTTAAATATAACAATGGGTAATTGAAACACACAATGTTTAATTCAGAACTAATGTAAAAATATAAAGACTTGCATTATTTTGTTAATAGTAATGAGAATATTTTAAAGATTGACTGATTGTTTAACATTACAATCTGTTGGAAAGCTCTAAAAAATCTGAGCTCCAAGCTCATTACTAGTATATACCAAAGTGCCGATAAAATCAGACATGTCCATATACAAAATAGTGTTCTTGCTCTAACATTTACATTGGAGTAGAAGTTAAAGAACACAAAACCAATAAGTACCCATATATGAAAGTTAACATTTTTCTTCCTGGTTTGTTTGAAGTTAAGCACAAAGCTACACAATATGCTATCTGTGTTCTGCCCACATAGGTATCGAAACCCAATTTCTAGCATGGTAAGTCCACAGACATACTACTGTGCCACTGGGGGCTTTCCTTACTGGAAAATGTATTTCCGATAGATATCTTCCTCAACTCTTCTGTGCATTCTGCCAAAGAAATTTGCAAGCCACCAGCCTTTTGAAAACTCCCACCTAATCTCACATGAAACCACATTAACTTCTGCTACTGCACAATGACATCATCATGCAGCAAAACCCTTCACCAATAGTAGTGCGACACACCTCCCTGCACAATGACTCCTCCTACATTTCGTGCTCATCAATCCTCATTCTTTTATGAGGCAATGAAGAAATGTACAGGGGAAAATTGGAAGGATGGGTAGGAATGTGTGAGAGGTGAGTATCTATCAATCCTCATTCTTTTATGAGGCAATGAAGAAATGTACAGGGGAAAATTGGAAGGATGGGTAGGAATGTGTGAGAGGTGAGTATCTATCAATCCTCATTCTTTTATGAGGCAATGAAGAAATGTACAGAGGAAAATTGGAAGGATGGGTAGGAATGTGTGAGAGGTGAGTATCTATCAATCCTCATTCTTTTATGAGGCAATGAAGA